TTTAATCATCAGGATAAAAGGGGCGAGTAGCGGTATCTGGCAACGTTCTCAGTTTGAGAGATGGGCTGAGTGCGTCGTCTGCAGCCTATCGTCTCAAGGAGTATATGAGATATCAGGATATTTATTTCAGCTCTTTGAGTTTTCTAAGGTTATCGGGTACAAGTCACTTTTGACTATTTCTGCAAATCAATCGATGGAAAACGCGGCCTTGAGAAATCAATGAAAAAAGGTATGACTCTGCAAGTCGCCCCATTAGTTTCATATTTCATATCGCCCCATAGGTTTCTGCGGGATTAGCAGTTAATGAGCAATAAATGTTGTCAATGGGGAAGACAGCAGTGAGTGCCTCTACTCACCAAACCTAATATCACTTTGCCAATACAAACCTGCGATTACAATCCACTCTTTACAAAAAAAATAGAAACAGATTCCTACCAATCTGGCATCTTTGCACGAGGCGCGCACTCCAGCCAATCAGAGACGGTGGTGCGATGTGACGTCACTGAGTGATGTCACACGGGGGCAGCCGGCCATGGTGTCTGCGTGGCAGCAGCAGCAGACACACGAGTACATCTGGCTTCTCGCGACTTCCTCCTAATAGCACTTCCGTTATACACACCTGTTATCTCTGGCGGCCGGTACACAGCTACACACACTCCGGGTGTGTGACGAGTGGCCGTCGCGGCCATAATGGAGGAGACACGCACTAACACGGATATCATCACACATCTGCAAAGAATGCTCTATTGATCCGTAATATGTGGAAGAGAAAATACAATTTAAGTCCTCATCACATTCCCGGGAGCTCATTAGTGATTTATATGACTCGTGAGGCAATTAACCGCGCTACTGAATAAACGCCTTTATGTAACTTGAGCATAAAGGCTGCACTCCAAACTGAGGAGAAGCTCATTTATTTCTGACTTAATTAGGATAGTAAGGAACTAAACTAATCAAGTATACTTTTCATAAGAACGTAAAGTTCTGAAGGACTCTATAGGAAGTTAACTGGTCCATTCATGACAACAAATTACGGGCTCGCCATAGACCGTGCTACGTGGAACTTTTTGTTCCAAGTAGCGAATCTTAAACAACAAATTCTGACCATCCCAATTATGTCACCACGACTCTTATAGAATAGATTTGATTAATCTATACTATGAGAATGTCTGTCAGTCTGTCCGAAGCTGGAGGCCAGACGTTCAGGGCTAGCCTCACCCAACTTTGCAGGGGGAATGGTCTGGGGAACGGGACGGACATAGGTTGGTCGTGGTAGACCTAAGTTAAATACTTTTAAGAAATATTAGCCTGTAATCCCCCCCCCCCCCCTCTAGTGTGATTTTCACGATGTGAAATGAAATCGCGGATGTGTTTTCCGTAGAGTGTCTCATGATTAACTCGAAAGGTATACTGATCATACCTTTATGACTAACCATCCTTTAGTCCCCACTCTCATATATTATAGGGTAACTTACGAATCAAATGTGTAAAAAAAAAATGTAAAAATATGAATTGAATTCATTCGGGTTAGTGATGAAAATAGTGAGTAGTGATGATTGTGATGAAGATGTAGTGAAGATGCAGGATTTAGGGGAGATAAGGGGAGAGGAGTAGGAGGATGATGAGGGGAAAGTGGGAAGAGAATGGAGAGGGGGAAGTGGGAAGAGAATGGAGAGGGGGAAGGAGGCAGATAAACCCGTGTACCGTCAAGTTTCCCTTTCTCTCTCTCTCTCTCTCTCTCTCTCTCTCTCTCTCTCTCTCTCTCTCTCTCTCTCTCTCTCTCTATATATATATATATATATATATATATATATATATATATATATATATATATATATATATCAAGCGTTGTATACATGTATATATATAATGTATACATAGGTATATATATATAATCTGGTGCCCCTAGGAATGTATATATATATATCACGGAACTATTTACTCTACCACCATAAGACAGAACATATCGATGCCATATATATATGTATATATATAATGCGGGTATATATATATATATATATATATATATATATATATATATATATATATATATATATATATATATATATATATATATATATTTTTTTTTTTTTTTGAAAAGCATTGACTCTGGGTTTTTCCAGAGTGTTCCGGAAGTTTTTCGTTGCTTTATGGAAGAACAATTCTTCCAGGTTATTCAAGAGTGTCCAGCAGCTTCTGGAAGCTTCTCTTCCAGCTGCATGATCCGCCAAACTAGATAATTAAAGTCACTCGGTGCCAATTCAGGAAAGCTGTTCAAGTTTGGTTGAGAATGGAGTTTGTTGACAGGCCTGCTTGTTTGAGTTGTGCTTATGTTGTCTGCTTGTTTGTGTGGCGTGCTTGTGTGTGAACGTGTGTGAGGTGTGCTTCCATGAGGTGTGCTTCCATGAGGCGTGCTTGTGTGAGGTGTGCTTCCATGAGCCGCGCTTGTGTGAGGTGTGCTTCCATGAGCCGCGCTTGTGTGAGGTGTGCTTGCACGAGCCGCGCTTGTGTGAGGTGTGCTTCCATGAGCCGCGCTTGTGTGAGGTGTGCTTGCACGAGCCGCGCTTGTGTGAGGTGTGCTTCCATGAGCCGCGCTTGTGTGAGGTGTGCTTCCATGAGGCGTGCTTGTGTAAGGTGTGCTTCCATGAGCCGCGCTTGTGTGAGGTGTGCTTCCATGAGGCGTGTTTGTGTAAGGTGTGCTTCCATGAGCCGCGCTTGTGTGAGGTGCGCTTCCATGAGCCGCGCTTGTGTGAGGTGTGCTTCCATGAGGCGTGCTTGTGTAAGGTGTGCTTCCATGAGCCGCGCTTGTGTGAGGTGCGCTTCCATGAGGCGCGCTTGTGTGAGGTGTGCTTCCATGAGGCGTGCTTGTGTAAGGTGTGCTTCCATGAGCCGCGCTTGTGTGAGGTTGCTTCCATGAGGCGTGCTTGTGTGAGGTGCGCTTCCATGAGCCGCGCTTGTGTGAGGTGTGCTTCCATGAGGCGTGCTTGTGTAAGGTGTGCTTCCATGAGGCGTGCTTCCATGAGGTGTGCTTGCACGAGCCGCGCTTGTGTGAGGTGTGCTTCCACGAGGCGTGCTGGTGTGAGGTGTGCTTCCATGAGGCGTGCTTGTGTGAGGTGTGCTTCCACGAGGCGTGCTGGTGTGAGGTGTGCTTCCATGAGGCGTGCTTGTGTAAGGTGTGCTTGCGGCGTTCTTGTATGAGGCGCGCTTGTGTTTCGACAACAGTGACTCACTTTTGCTGATAACGGTAAACTCCCACCTCCGCTGAAGCAGAAACTCAACCAGCGATATATATACACCTCTCTATGTACACCTCTTTGTGTATACACCCAACTTGCTCCGTATCCACCAAACTTTCTTGAATACACTGAGAGGTGTCACCAACTTCTCGGTCTATATACACTGAGAGTATACGTCACTCCCATACAACGTTCAGGACTAAACTAAACTTGCTGGTTGGTCAGTAAGGCCTTAATGACCCTCCAGAGGTTGGTACCCTCCAAACACACACCGAAACTACGACGTTGGTACAACGTTCGAACAAGTTTTAACACCACCTAACCAGTTATAACAACCAATATATCAAGTTGTAACAACATTCCAATACGTCATAAACACATTAAGCCAAGATGTAACAACTTTATTACAAGTTGTTACAAGCGGAAAATAGAGACAGTTTCGGTTTGTGTTTCCAGGGTAGGCCCTAAGCCCAACACCAAAGCAGAAACAAGTGACGAATTGAGCATGCGGTAGTTTGGACACGTATCATCAAGTCATCAGGAATCATTAAGTCATCCACCAAGTAATTAATTAAGTGTCCTTTTACGAAGCCTATACAGCTTTGCTTACTCGTGGCGGCTTTGTTTACATATATTAAACGGTTTACGAGCTTTGAAACTTTACAACCCAAAGTTGTTATTGTTATCAACAGCCTTCGGAGCTCAAACTATAAATTTAAACCTAACACTAGGATGGTTAAAGCAGCGGCCGCCCTCCCCAGACAACCCGTCCTCACACTAGGCTGGTTAATGCAGCAGCCGTCCTCCTCAGACGCATTCATTAATTTTAACATAATGTGTATTCAAAATAGGTTTGTTCTCATATATAATGTAATATTATTATACATAAAAATTCTTTGTATAGTTTGGCGTAGGTTAGGTTAGGTGTTTAGGTTCTGTTGCTGATTATTTGTATTTGAAGTACGTGTGTGAAGCATTTATAGAATTGTGGTTCGAACAGAGGACGTGAACGAAGCACTTGTTCGGGAAGTGTTCGGACGTAATCATCTGTGAGTCGTACAGTCCGTACTCCAAACAAAGACCCAAAAGTGATTCCATGCACCCGCCAAACCCCCAGCTGTTTATGAATGAAAAGCGGTTTACACACGACTCACAACTGCTGACGTTCGAACATATCCGGAACAAGTGCTTCACTGACGAATTTTGTTCGAATCACAACGCTGTAAATGCTTCACCCACGTACTACAAATACAAATAATCGCCAACAGAACCTAAACACCTAACCTAATCTATGCCTATATATACACAATATGCTAATATATTATAATATTAATTTATATTTGAGAAAATTCCCGTTTTGAATGAACAACATGTAACAATTTATGAATACGTCTGTGGGGGTCGACCGCTGGATGTAATGGACTTGAGTCGAGAACGGGTTGTTTCATTCATAAACAGGGAGGTTTGGCTGCTGGATTAACGAGCTTGGATCTTTATATGCGAAGACGGGCTGACCATACCACCAGCATCAAGGCTCTAACATGGAACTATATCAACAATTCAAAACAAAAGTGTCCAAGAATATAACAAACAAATATACGACATTAAAATACGAAACAAAGGAAGGATGGGGACAGTAAGAGGAACCAAATAGCACGGACATGTCAGGTCTAAAAGGCACATTGCATGATTTTCCCAAATGGCTGAACTGCATTATCGACATTTCATATTAAAAAATGAGTGGGAAATTCTCACTCTGCCATAATGGGGAGTAGGTCCTAACAATTTGCATCTCATTTACAACACGTTAACCAACAAGAAAATATACCTTTTTCAACCCCATTCAAAATGAGGGCTTGAGAGAGAGGAGGGGGGGGGGGGGTTAGAGGTAGCAGAGTAGGAGTTAAGGGGGGAGAGGTGGAGAGGGGAAGACCTTGGTGCTTGTAGGGTCGAGCCTGAGCTCTTAAACTCCGCCTTTCGGCTGTCAGTAGTTCAATACAGTGATGAAGGTCTTCATTCTACCCATTCCCTTTTTTCCTTTTCCCCCTTCCCGGAACCCCTTACCCCCCCCCCCCCTTACCTCTCTCAGGCACACCTACCCCCCCTAGCCCCCTGAGTCCCCCTACCCCTCCTCGGCACCCCCGTACCCCCCTAACCATCCCCCCGGCCCACCAACCCCCTACCCCTCCCCCTCCCCATCCCCCCTACCCCCCCCCCCCCCCTAACCCTCCCTACACAGGCCTGGATAATTCGCTGCTTAAACCCTCACCGATCATTGGCAGTTGGTTTGGCGCGTTAAACCACATCAAATAAACAGTTACTGGTTTATGATAGCAGGTTTCAAATGGAGATTTTTGTTCGTTATCGCAGCCGAGTAAGAGAGAGAGAGAGAATGGATATCCTGTGGTGCAGTGGTTTACAACTACGACTCACAACCGACGATACCGAGTTCGATTCCAGCCCGCCAAACACACCGAAACTACGAAGTTGGTACAACGTTCGGACACGTTTTAACACCTAACCAGTTATAACAACCAATATAGCAAGTTGTAACAACGTTCTAATACGTCATAAACACGTTAAGCCAAGATGTAACAACTTTATTACAAGTTGTAACAAGCGGAAAATAGAGACAGTTACGGTTTGAGTTTCCAGGGAAGGCGGGATAGAGGGACGGTTGGCCACGTTTTTCTTTCACCTGATGCCACTGTTCACCGAGCAGTCTAGAGACCCCCTCCCCACGTGTTAGGCAATAGTTGTGGGTTACCCTCCTGGGGAGGGTCAAGAACTGGGGCTAGGAGGGGGGTGGGGGGGGGGGAAACTTGAATAGGCCTTACGACAACTATAAACAAAAAACACAGTTTGCATGACAGGTTCAAGAGGTCATCTTCCACCCAAGTTCAACATGATGATTTGAATGTTGAGCAATGTATTCTGTTCAAGATGAACTGAATGTGTTGCAGCAGCTGTAATAAGCACTGTTGCAGGAGCTGTAATAAGCACTGTTGCAGGAGCTGTAATAAGCACTGTTGCAGCAGCTGTAATAAGCACTGTTGCAGCAGCTGTAATAAGCACTGTTGCAGCAGCTGTAATAAGCACTGTTGCAGCAGCTGTAATAAGCACTGTTGCAGCAGCTGTAATAAGCACTGTTGCAGCAGCTGTAATAAGCACTGTTGCAGCAGCTGTAATAAGCACTTTGCAGCAGCTGTAATAAGCACTGTTGCCGCAGCTGTAATAAGCACTGTTGCAGCAGCTGTAATAAGCACTGTTGCAGCAGCTGTAATAAGCACTGTTGCAGCAGCTGTAATAAGCACTGTTGCCGCAGCTGTAATAAGCACTGTTGCAGCAGCTGTAATAAGCACTGTTGCAGCAGCTGTAATAAGCACTGTTGCAGCAGCTGTAATAAGCACTGTTACCGCAGCTGTAATAAGCACTGTTGCAGGAGCTGTAATAAGCACTGTTGCCGCAGCTGTAATAAGCACTGTTGCCGCAGCTGTAATAAGCACTGTTGCAGCAGCTGTAATAAGCACTGTTGCAGCAGCTGTAATAAGCACTGTTGCAGCAGCTGTAATAAGCACTGTTGCAGCAGCTGTAATAAGCACTGTTGCAGCAGCTGTAATAAGCACTGTTGCAGCAGCTGTAATAAGCACTGTTACCGCAGCTGTAATAAGCACTGTTGCAGCAGCTGTAATAAGCACTGTTACCGCAGCTGTAATAAGCACTGTTGCAGCAGCTGTAATAAGCACTGTTGCAGCAGCTGTAATAAGCACTGTTGCAGCAGCTGTAATAAGCACTGTTGCAGCAGCTGTAATAAGCACTGTTGCAGCAGCTGTAATAAGCACTGTTGCAGCAGCTGTAATAAGCACTGTTGCCGCAGCTCAAGTGGACAATGGTGTAAGTGTAAACAATATTGCAGAAGCAATAAACACTATGCAGGAGTATACCATGCAGGTGGTGTAAACCAAGATGAACGTGTACGACGCCAAGTATACCCAGGTATACCCATCATCAACACCCTCCCCCCTGGTGGGGGTAGAGGGGGGGGGAGTGGTGTACCACCCTCCACGGGAGGTATATATATATAACCTCCTCCCTCCTTGTGGTATTTCCCTACTTTCTACCCTCTCTCTCTCTCTCTCTCTCTCTCTCTCTCTCTCTCTCTCTCTCTCTCTCTCTCTCTCTCTCTCTCTCTCTCTCTCTCTCTCTCTCCTCGCTTAATACGTTTCCTGCATTCTGTACGTAATGGATCTCTCTCTCTCTCCTCTCTCTCTCTCTCCTCTCTCTCTCTCTCGCTTAATACGTCGCATTCTGTACGTAATGGACCAAGCTAGACATTATCAAAGCTGACAAGACTTATGAAAGCTATAATCGACCAAACCGCTTAAAATATGACGTGTTCGCGAAACATTAAACCACCATATTATCGACGTTTCTGTGGATCGGCCTCGATAGGTTACGAGGACAAGACCTCCGCGATACGAGGACAAGAACCAGAGATTAAATCGTAAGGGAAAAAAGTGACGAGATATTACGACACAATTCTGACTCCGTCATAGGTGTGGCGTCACAGGTGTGGCGTCACAGGTGTGGCACCACACGCCACGGGGCGCCAAGGAACACATCAGAGCTCCAGTGTCGCCAGAGAGAGTGTGGCGCCACCAGCAGGTCACACAGTAAACTGCTACAGCATAGCCGGTCAAGGGTCGTATTTCCCACACACTTTCCCTCTAAATTTTACATAATGGCCGAATTATGCAATCGTGTCAGAGCTCCTTAGGTCTAGATGGCTGGGTGGGGGGGGGGGGTGGGGGTAGGGGGTGAGGGGGTGGGGGGTAGGGGGTGGGGGGGAGGGGGTGAGGGGGGGTGAGCCCACGGCAGAGGGGAGCCAAGGAGAGCAGAAAGGAGTAGAGAAAGTGGTGAAGAGAAAGACATAAGGAAGACAATAGGAAGGGGAGAAACATAGGAGAGAGTAGAGGGGCAGAACGATTGAGAGGAATAATGGAATTAGGGAAGAGGAGTAGAGCGAATGGTAGATGAAGAGATAGGAGTAGAGCGAAGAGTAGAAGAGGAGATACGAGAAGCGTGAGAGCAGAACCCCAAGTACTGGAGACACAGGACCATTGGACAGGACCTTCTGTTTTAACCTCATAACTTATTCACCCCTATAAAATGCGTCGGCCTTACATATAGCCTCGTTACCAAACGTCTATATACGGTATTTGTGTGTAAATGCAGCAGAGGTGGAGGGGACCTGCTGCATGGGTAACAGCTTCTCCTCCGTATCAACCTACCCTGGTGTGCCCTGGAGAGGCCACTCCAGACCGACAACCAGAGCGCAACTCCATAGTCTCCCAAGACTCCCAAGACCTACTATATAATAATAATTGTGGTCGCAAAGCCGGCAATTTATACCACAAATGAACAACCCCGTTTCCAAACCAGTATTTACCCAGGTCTTTCCTAAATCTAAACTTATCTAAGTGAACAAATCCACAAGGGCCGTGATGAGGGTTCGAACCTACGTACGAGACGATCCCAGACGCGCCTTAATCGACTGCGCCACGACATGATAAAAGAATTGCAACCGGGAGTGCTACTGCCCTCACACGGACCCTGCAGCCTCTCCGAGACACGAACCACAAAGCTGATCTAATTTATACTCATTGTTTTGTACTCAATCATGTATCTTCGCTCTTATGCCCTTTCATCCACTAGTACACTACAGTCTTCTAGGCTTTCAGACTGTATCAACTGCAGATACTTGTACCTGGGAAGCCAGTAAGTTCAGTAGAACTTCGGTTTCAACCCTTTTTACCCTGTCGTAGCTCAGTCGATTAAGGCAGTGTCTGGGATGCTCCCGGACGCAGGTTCGAATCCTCGTCACAGCTCTTGTGGATTTGTTCATTTAAGCCATTCCATCCCTGACTCATTGGAGAATTGGGGCCAGATTCACGAAGCAGTTACGCAAGCACTTACGAACCTGTACATCTTTTCTCAACCTTTGGCGGCTTTGTTTACAATTATTAAACAGTTAATGAGCTCCGAAGCACCAGGAGGCTGTTTATAACAATAACAACAGTTGATTGGCAAGTTTTCATGCTTGTAAACTGTTTAATAAATGTAACCAAAGCCGTCAAACATTGAGGAAAGATGTACACGTTCGTAAGTACTTGCGTAACTGCTTCGTGAATCTGGCCCTAGATCTTCAAGCACTCTTTTAGCCCAAATAAAGGTCTCCGCTGCTTTAATTCGTGAGTCATCGTCTGGAGCTCAAATGTGAGCAAAGCTCTGAGGTTGAGCACCATCTCTTGGCGACGTTCAACCAGCTTGTGATGACTCCGGACTAATCCCAGGATGCATTGGGTAATGTCTGACCTTCTAGGTCTCTTCCCATTGGTCTCCTCAGGTCATGTGGTGTGTAAATCATCGTGTAAGCTGTGTCAGGGAATATCTATCTACTAAAAGATATATATAACAAATTTATAATAGATTTATTATCGAAAATTATACATAGTAACTGATAAAAATGCTCAGAGGCGGTCCTATGTATTGGTTATGAGAGAGAGAGGGAGAGAGAGAGAGAGAGAGAGAGGAGATACTATGTACACCAACTTCTTACACCAAACTACCACTCCCCCTTCCCCACACACACACATACACCCCCCCCCCTCACACCACACACACCACACACACAAACACCACACACACCACACACACACACACACACACACACACACACACACACACACACACACACACACACACACACACACACACACACACACACACACACACACACACACACACACACACACCTTCACTGTCATTGTTTCACTAATCATCATTACCAGCGGGAATCGCTAATCGGAGTATAAATGACGCTAATATTCGGCATCCAATAGCAGCATTAGTGGGCTCTCTCCGACACACACACACACACACACACACACACACACACACACACACACACACACACACACACGGGGCCTCGTAGCCTGGTGGATAGCGCGCAGACTCGTAATTCTGTGGCGCGGGTTCGATTCCCGCACGAGGCAGAAACAAATGGGCAAAGTTTCTTTCACCCTAAGTGCCCCTGTTACCTAGCAGTAAATAGGTACCTGGGAGTTAGTCAGCTGTCACGGGCTGCTTCCTGGGGTGTGTGTGTGTGGTGTGGAAAAAAAAAATAGTTAGTAAACAGTTGATTGACAGTTGAGAGGCGGGCCGAAAGAGCAAAGCTCAACCCCCGCAAAACACAACTAGTAAACACACACACACACACCAACCACGTCATCCAACCAGGCTGTTAGCACCACGTGTTCTAAACAAGCCTCGACACAAAACACAAACTCGTACCAAACTCGGCCTAACTACCCAAAAAAATAATACCAAACGACCTCTAACTACCCACCCAAACAACCCTTAACTACAGAGTCAAGGAGAAGGTCAAACCTGGCATGACTTGAACACCGGGCCACACACAGAACACCGGGCCACACACGGAACACCGGGGCCACACACGGAACACCGGGCCACACACGGAACACCGGGGCCACACACGGAACACCGGGCCACACACGGAACACCAGGGCCACACACGGAACACCGGGGCCACACACGGAACACCAGGGCCACACACGGAACACCGGGGCCACACACGGAACACCGGGCCACACACGGAACACCAGGGCCACACACGGAACACCGGGGCCACACACGGAACACCGGGCCACACACGGAACACCAGGGCCACACACGGAACACCAGGGCCACACACGGAACACCGGGCCACACACGGAACACCGGGCCACACACGGAACACCGGGCCACACACGGAACACCGGGCCACACACGGAACACCGGGCCACACACGGAACACCGGGCCACACACGGAACACCGGGGCCACACACGGAACACCAGGGCCACACACGGAACACCAGGCCACACACGGAACACCGGGCCACACACGGAACACCGGGGCCACACACGGAACACCAGGGCCACACACGGAACACCGGGCCACACAAGAACCTAAATTAAACCCATCAATTTTGGGCCTCTTGTTAAGTGGGTTTCTGGAGGCATTCCGATTTTGTGCCATCTTGTGTATATAGCGGGTCCTTAGGGTTGCCATGTGGTCCTCAGAGTTGCCATGTGGTCCTCAGGGTTGCCATGTGGTCCTCAGGGTTGCCATGTGGTCCTCAGGGTTGCCATGTGGTCCTCAGGGTTGCCATGTGGTCCTCAGGGTTGCCATGTGGTCCTCAGGGTTGCCATGTGGTCCTCAGAGTTGCCATGTGGTCCTCAGAGTTGCCATGTGGTCCTCAGGGGGCCATATGGTCCTCAGGGTTGTCATGTGGTCCTCAGAGTTGCCATGTGGTCCTCAGGGTCCATGTGGTCCTCAGAGTTGCCATGTGGTCCTCAGAGTTGCCATGTGGTCCTCAGAGTTGCCATGTGGTCCTCAGTTGCCATATGGTCTTCAGAGTAACCATGTAGTCCTCAGAATTGCCATGTAGTCCTCAGAATTGCCATGTGGTCCTCAGGGTTGCCATGAGGTCCTCAGGGTTGCCATGAGATCCCCAGGGCTCTCCGCCCACTCCTGCCAACTTCAACCTGCGTCTTGTACCTAAGGACACCACCTCTAAGAGGCGTCAAGATCCATCTTATTGCAAGTGCACTATATCTATCCAGGAGACAGTCATGCTTGCAACTGCTGCAGACTGTCTCCTCGATAGATATATTAATATATATATAGATATATATACCTCGATAGATATATTAGTCAGCATCGCGAGAAGTCTGGAACAACAGACTGACTTCTGACTCCCATTGGCAGTCTAAGAGCTTTTCCTTCCCATAACTCAAGGTAAGACCTATTAATTTTCCCTGGGACACGTTCAGTCGATCGGTTAGCAACTAGGTCTACAGTTACTGCTGGGTGAAAAGGGGCGAATAGCTAAGGATT